AAAAAAAAAAAAAAAATAGGCAGGCACTGTGGCAAGTGACTGTAGTCCTGGCTCCTTTGGAGGCTGAGCAAGAGTATCGCTTGAGCTCAAGAGTTTGAAGTTGCTGTGAGCTATAATGCCACAGCACTCCACTGAGGGCTACAAAGTGAGGCTCTATCTCAAAAATCAAACAAACAAAAAAATAATAAAAATGGGCAGTGAATTGAAATGGAAATTTCCCCAAAGAAGATATATGAATGGCCAATAAACACACATGAAAGATGCTTACCATCACTAATCATTAGAGAAATGAAAATCATAGCTGCAATGAGATGCCATTTCACACTCACTAGGATTTCTATTATCAATTAACAAAAAATATTAAGTATTAGTAAAAATGTGGAGAAATTGAAAACCTTGTTCATCGCTGGTGTTAATGTAGAATAGTGCAGCTGCTGTGAAGTACAGAGATTCTTCAAAAAGTTAAACATAGGGATGAGGTACAGTGGCTCACGCTTATCATCCTAGCACTTTGGGAGTCTGAGAATCACTGGAGCCCAGGAGTTCAAGACCAGCTTGGGCAATAGTGAGACTCCATTTCTACAAAAGAAAAAAATTTTTAAAACTCATCTAGGCATGGTAGTGTGCACCTGTAGTCTCAGCTACTGAGGAGGCTGAGGCTGGAGGATTATCTGAGCCCAGAATTTTAAGGTTGCTATGAGCTATGATTATACCACCGCACTCCAGCCACCACAAAAGAGAAAGAACTTGTCTCAAAAAGAGAGAGAAAGAGGGGAGGGAAAGGAAGGGAAGGGAAGGGAAGGGGAGGGAAAAAGAAGAAAAGAAAAGAAACACTTAAATGTAGACTAACCATATGATTCAGAGATTCTACGTCTAGGTGTATACATACAAGAATTGAAAGGAAAAATTACTCAAAGAAATACCTGAATGCCAATGTTCACAGCACCATTATTCACAACAGCCAAAAGGTCAAAACAACGTGTGTTTATCAACAGATGAATGAACAAACAAAATGTGTTGTATACATACACTAGAATACACATACACTAGTGTTCGGACTTAAAAAGGAAAAAAATTCTGATAAACTGATTAACCTTGAAAACATTATACAAATGAAGTAATCCAGACACAAAAAGACAAATATTGTATGCTTTTAAATTAGATCCCTAGTATAGTAAAATTCAGGGGACAGAATGTAAAACAGAGATTACCGGAGGCTGGGGGGTGGAGGAGATGAGAGTTTAACAGGTACAGAGTTTCAAGTTGAGGTTTAAAACGTTCTGGATGTGGATAGCAGTGATGGTTGCATACATTGCCTATGAACTTAATGCCTGTGAATTGTGCACTCAGATAGTTAAAATGTTCAATTTCATTACATATATTTTGAAGCAATTAAAACACATTTTTAAAAATCCTGCATTTTTAGTCACGTTCCAAGTGATGCTAATGCTGCTAATCTAGGGGCCATGCTGGGTGGTAAGACGCAATGTAGAGAAAAGCAGAAGATACGAGTTCTTCAGGAAAAGGGAACGTATCTTTTGATACTTAGAAACTTCCACCTTGTATGTCATATAAGCTCTATACTTTTGTCAATTAATTCATGAAGGAATAAATACAGAAATACAATCTTACCAACAGTGCAGAAGTGTTCCCTTTTCTCCACATTCACGGAACACTTCTGCACTGCTGGTGGGACTACAAGCTAGTACGTTCCTTTTGGAAAGAAGTTTGGAGAACACGCAGAGAACTAAAAATTGACCTGCCATTGGATCCTGCAATTCCTCTTCTAGGAGCACATCCAAAAGACCAAGAATCACTTAGCAAAAAAGATAGTTGCACCAGATTATTCATTGCAGCTCAATCTGTAATATCTAAGTCATGGAAGAAGCCCAAGTGCCACTCAACCCATGAATGGATTAATATATTGTGATTTCATATATACCATGAAATACTATGCAGCCTTAAAAAAGTTGAAGCCTTGATCTCTTTTATGTTTACATGGAGGGATCTGGAATATATTCTCTTGAGTAAAGTGTCTCAAGAATGGAGGAAAATGTATCCAATGTACTCAGTACTTCTATGAAAACTACTTATATTTACTCACACTTTCTTGTCAAAAATAGAACACAACTATAAGCCCAGGATGATGGAGAGAAGTGGAGTGGGAGGTGAGGGGAGGGGGGAGGTTCGACAGAGGGACGGTAAAAGACGTGATCACACCTATGAAACATATGACAAGGGTACAAGTCAAATCTGTGAAATGTGGAACATAGATGTTGTGGCACAATAATCAAGTAAATAAGGTGAAAGCTATGTTGATTGGTTAAATGTAATCACATTAGATTGTATTTAAAAAATCAGCACATACGCATGAATGTATCCATGATCTATGTGTATTTAACTTAATACAATTAAAAATAATTAATTCAATAAGCAATTAGAAACAAAAAAGAAATTCAATCTGACAGGGTATGCAGAATTTGTAATACAAGGCAGAATGCATCACTGAACATAACACAGCCAAAGGAAATCAGAAGGAGGGGGTCACTCTCAGGGAACCAGAATGATGTGCTGAAATCAATGCCTCGGATAAGGTATTACTGAATAAACACTTTCCGTGCAAAGATGCTGTTGACTTATTACAGACATTTATTTTACCTACAATGGTTATTAATTCTCTTAACTAAAAAGATATTAAAGGATGAAACAATAGAAAACTCAGTATGTAGATACTGCAGATGTTAAAAAAAAAAAAAAAAAAAAGTCCTTCTTTGGCTCAGTGAATTTCTTTGCCCACGTTGTTTCCCAAGGCAGAATAACATGAAGAACACAACGATCCTTCCCGGAAAATTGGCCAGTGCTGTAATCAGATGTTACAAAGTGATCAGAAAATAAGTTTGGTGGACACAGTTATGAAAGGACAGTTGGTTATCTGTTGAGGAGAGAATGTGCACATGATTTTGGTATAAATGGAAAGATCATGTACTTACTAAGGTAAGCCTTCAGTGTTTTTATTTCTTTTTATGAATGGATGAATTTTGTTCTATAGTTGTTAATTTCTACAAAACATGAATAATTGTTCAATCATCTTATTTTCTATTTCACTACTTTTCTTACATATATGTCAAATTCCTAGAGATACTGTAAAGTCAGGACAGCGGTTATAACCACCTCCTGGGGCAAATACGACCCCTGACTTCTGGAAAAGGAAGAATGAGCAACCGAGAATCATATTTGTACTGTCCCTTACTGCTTGGCGCTAAAGGCATTTCTCACCCATTGGGACTCATCCTTTCATGGAGAACCTTGCTATTTGAAACTTTATTAGCTTTTTCAGATCCTTAGGTACTATTTAATTAGCGATTCAACTCTAGATTTTAAATCCATACCTTTATAATCATCTCAGTATTGGATAATATGCTAGATAGCCTAATACATGAGATGGAGTCACCAATATCTATGATAAAGAACATAACTTATGAACATAATTGTGATCTTAAGACAAGCTCAGATCCTGAAGTATCATCATGCAAAGGAAGAATACATCGTGCTTAATATAGTTTTAATGATAAGTAGGTTTTCCAAATATTTTAGTTTTCTATAACTGTTAATCCATACGTGGCATATGGGAGAAGTTGGAAGCTCCAACTTGCTTCTATTTGGTGAACTAGAAAAACCCTACTCCCTTCAATTGCGAACTAACAAAAACTACTGCATCTGTTTTTTTGCAGATAAAACAGCATGAGGTGGTTTAAAGGTTTTCATCAGTTATAACCAAATCAGTGGCCGGGTAGGAATAAAATCCAATATCCTGACAAACCCTGTGTTTTCTGTGGAATCTGGCTTTCTTTTATTAGAAGTCTAAAACATTCATTAGCTCCAAATCTAAGTCCAGAATGAAGTGAAGATGTTATAAATTCGAGGACAGAATTTAAACAGATGAACAGCCTAATCGGAAACTTTAGTTGGAGTACAAGGCTGGGCAGGGGGAAATTCTGATCGATCTGCTTTTTCAGAAGCTGTTTGGAATATAAAGAATGCTGCATGTCAACTAAGTGGTAAAATTTATAGTCATAATGTATTTATTAACATTTTATTTCAGAATTAAATTGTAAATAAGATGGCAAATTCTGAAAGTACTGAGGAAATGCATGAAAATCATTGGAGAAATAGGTAAGCTTTCCCTAAATACTACAAAAAGTATTCTTCTGCAATTTCAAACATATCTTATGCTTTTCACAGGTCTAGCAAGAATGTGTGTAATTTTTTTTAAAAAATGATTATTTTCATTTTGCTGAACTTCAACATAATCAGTGTTATAACTGGTTTAGTAGTGATTTTAGGGAGTGAAAGAGCCATGGAATTGATTAATTTAGTGCTTCAGATATCTCCTCTCATGAATTTCTTGTACTGTGTAACTTACTAGTACATACAGGAAAGATGCCTGAAGTTTTATCTCAATTCTTGGCCAGGCTTGGTGTCTCAGGCCTATACTCCTAGCCCTTCAGGAAATTGAGGCGGGAGGGTGGCTCAAGGTCAAGAATTTGAGACCAGCCTAAGCAACACAACAAGAGCCTGTCTCTCCAAAAAAATAGAAAAATTAGCCAGGCATAATGGTATATGTCTAAAGTCTTAGCTACTGGGGAAACTGAGGCAAGAAGATTGGGTAAACCCAGGAGATTGAGGCTGCTGCAAGCTGTTAGCATACAACTGCACTCCAGCCTGGGTGACAAAGACTCTTTATCAAAAAAAAAAAAGAAAGAAAGGAGAGTGAAACATTTCTGTGGTCTTTCCATTCCATTCTTTTTACTCCATGTGATAAATTTAATAAAAGAAAATAGTGGGTTCTAGTTATTTTTTCACTGAATGGATGTCTGTGTGAATATGTATGTCAGTTTTATACCCATATAATTCATTAGTTAGAGATTTTTCAATGGAAATAGTTTTAAATCCTTTTTATTCCCACTTGTGTCATAATAATCTAGTTCCATTTAGATATACAATCTATAAAACTGGAGAGGATCCTTCTAGGTCACATGGTTCATTAATGTGGAAAACAGCCAGAAAGGCCACTCCCTCCCTTGCTGTTTTCTTAGGGGTCAGAGTGGCTCAATCAGAAACTTCTTGAAGCTGAAGACAATTTTCTCTGGGCATATTTTGAAATATTTACAGAGCAGCATTCTAAACCCCACACTTCTTTTTTAATGTAGTTATTGTTATTCTCTTCTTGTGGTTATTTTCCCAAAGTCAGTTTTTCCCTTTCTAAGCACAATTTCCTCATAAATTCAAAACAGATTCTCTAAATTCTGTGCCCTAGCCTGCTGATGTGAGGGGATGATGAAAGAATAGATTTATTTAGAATACATTGTGCATCTAAGCATTACCTGTGGGGTGAGTAAATCCTGGTTCCATCATGTATTTCACTGGAGGCATTATAATGTGGTGGTTAAAAGTTGCACCTCTGTAAAGCATCAGGAGAATAGAGAAGCAAGAATCCAATGTACTCAATTCTAATATGAAGGCAGTAGATGACCTAATACATGGTGGAGAGTAGGGGAAAGAGGAGGGGAGAGGGGAGGGTTGGGGGGTCATGGTGTATGGCACAACTCTTGGGGGCGGAACACAATTATAAGAGGGACTTTACCTAACAAATGCAATCAGTATAACCTAATTCTTTGTACCCTCAATGAATCCCAAACAATAAAAGTTCCACCTCTGGAGTCACATTCAAGTTCAATAACTAGCTCTCCGCACTTGAGTTGTTTGCTCTGTGATTGAGTTTCCTCTTCTTTAAAGTGGTCATGATAATAGTAACCACAGACCTAATAAGTTTTCTTGAGATACCACGGGAAACCACAAAAGCTAATAGGTTAATAGAAACACAACAGCAAACTGCAACACCTGTATGCTACCAATAGAAGCCTAGACCCGGGAGGTGGTTAATTTTGTTAGTTTCTATGAATAATGGAGAAAATGTCAAATTCCATTCAGATGACTACAGGACAAGAGAGGATGAGAGAAAACAACATAAAAGGGAAAAGCGACAAGGATTGAAGGTTAAGGGTTGGATGATCCCCGAAAAGTGAAATCGGTGGGATGCAGGTGCGGAATCAAGGCAGGCTTCCAGTTAGGTGGAGGTGACTCATTTGAAGCTGGGAGCAGAATTATGTTGCTGCTTTGAGCCACACTGATTTGCATTAAAGAAATTGAAATACTGAAGCACGGGTAGCTTTAAGATCCTCTCCAACTTGCAAACCAGCAAAGAGCACGCTAGAACTGGGAGCCCGCGAGGCGGTGGCTGGCGGCCGGCCTGAACCCGGCAGATTCGGTTTCCCCTGCACGCCTTTGGCTCCACCTCCCCGCTGTTACCAGGCAACACTTGGGGGCGGGGCCCAGGAGGGAGGAGACCCTCAAACCTGCTGCTCTCCTCTGGAACCAATCCAAGCCCTCCTTGCGAAGCTTTCCGTGGAGTTAGAAATGTTTTCCCTGAAACAGAACTACTCAAGAGAAGAGAGCTTACCCGGATTTAAGGTTTACAATCTGCATTTAGAGGTGGGAGAAGGGGTGGTGGGACTTTACAATCTTAAAGCATTTTTTGTCATCTGTGCCTCAACCCAGAGCAAATAGGCCTGAACATAAGTAAATCATTAACCCCAAGTGGAAGAAATGGAAGCGAATTGCCTTTTGCCATTTAGCAAAAGCTGACAGGGAGATGTTAAAAAGCTTAAGGAGAACAGGCGCAAGTTTGTCTTCCTGCGACGTCTTCACAGAGGACTCGCCTGTTCCTGTCCAGTCTTATTGTCATATTGCAGGCTCCTGGGAGGGGGTGGGGTTGTTGTGTGTGTTTAACCACCAGATTTCTGTAAATGGATAGAATTTACAACTTTCATATGGACTTCCAAATAAATGAAGTTTTCAAATGGGGGACAAAATTCAGGGTAATTTAATATGTTCTTAATAGAATTCATTTCATTCAAAGCTCATAGTTGCTCTTGAGCATTTTGTTACAAATAAAAGTTTTAATCCATCACTTGATACCTATTAGATACAGCAGTTCTCAACCTGTGGGTCTCAACCCACAGGAACTGTATTAAAGGGCCACGGCATTTGAAGGTTGAGAACCATGGCATTAGAATGACTGCTACTGAAAGAGAGGAACAAAGAGGTGTCGGTGAGAATATAGAGAAATTAAAATCCTCATGCACTGCTGTGGAAAACAGTATGGCAGTTCCTCAAAATATTAAAAATATAATGGAATTAGTATATGATCCCGCAATTCTACTTCTGGTTATATGCCCAAAAGAATTGGAAGCCGAGAGTCAAAGAGATACTTACGGGCCAGGTGTGGGGGATTCATGCTTGTTATCCTAGCACTCTAGGAGGCCAAGGTTGGAGGATCCCTTGAGGACAGGAGTTTAAACCAACCTGAATAAGAGAAAGATCCCAACTCTACAAATACTAGGAAAATCAGCTGGGCATGATGGCATGCACCTGTAGTCCCAGCTATTTGGAAGGCTGAGGCAGGAGGATGGCTTGAGCCCAAGAGTTTGAGGTTGCAGTGAGCTAGGCTGCATGCACTGTAACTAGCCCAGATGACAAAGTGAGACCCTGTCTCACAAAAATACAAACCAATATTTGTGCATCCATATTCAGAGAAGCATTATTAGCAACAGCCACAATATGGAAGCAATTTAAGTTTCCAACAAAATTTGGCATATGCACTCCAATGGATTACAGGAGTAGAGTTAGGTCTTAAAAAGGAAAAAAATTCTGACACCTGCTACAACAGGAATGACACCACGGGAAGACATTACGCTGAGTGAATAATTCAGAGATGAACCTTGAAGACAGTAAGCCAGTCAAGGAAGACAAACACTACCTGATTCTGTTCATACAAGGTACCCAGAGTTGCCAAATTTATAAAGACAGAAAATAGAATCATGGGGTGTAAGGAGGAGGCACAATAGAGAGTCACTGTGTAATGAGTACACAGTTTGTTTTGCTAAGTAAAAAAAGTTCTGTGGATAAAGAGTAGGACTCACAGCACAACAATGTGAATGTACTTAGTGCCTTGATTGCCTCGATTAAAAATGCTTAAGAAGGGAAAGTCTATGTTATGTGTATTTTACCACAATTTTTAAAAATCCTACTCCAGATGAATGTCTTTGGTTAAGACCCTAACACACTTAGAGACATCCAGTGACAACTGTCTGTCATTAAGTCTGTTTTACAAATTTCCATGCTGGCATAAATTTGCTGCCAAGGGTATTATCTGACACTTCAACAAACTGGCAGTGGAAAAATTTGCATTTCACCATGTCATTTTTGCATTTGAAACATTTATTTTCCAGTAAACTCCAGGAACAACTGCCTAAAGTGAGAAAGCAAGCTGTTGGACCTATTGAGATTGTAAGTGAAAATCACTTAGAAAGTGTATGGGTCAGAAAATTGTGGGTTATTGTCATAAAATAATTGTGGATTATTGTCATAGAATAGTTGTGTTTATGTGATGGTGTACATAGAATGGTTGTGTTTGTGTGGTAGTGTACATCCATTATTTGAGGAAAAGGAGAATTAAAAGAAAAATTCATCACAGTGTCATTTCCAATAGGAAAAATAAAATAAAAGCAACCCGAAAGTTCCATAATAAGGACTAAGAAAAAAATAGCACAACATCTGTACAATGATCTCAATTAAAAAAAAAAAATTAGAGGGAGCTGGGCACAGTGGCTCACACCTGTAAACCTAGCACTCTGGTAGACCAAGGCAGGTGGATTGCTTGAGCTCAGGAGTTCGAGACCAGCCTGAGCAACAGTGAGACCCTGTCTCTAAAAAATAGTCAGGCATTGTGGGGGGTACGTGTAGTCCCAGCTACTCAGAGGCTGAGGCAAGAGGATTGTTTGGGTCCAAGAATTTTTTTTTTTTGAGTCCAAGGATTTGAGGTTGCTGTGAGCTATGACACCAGAGCACTCTACCCAGAGCAACAGAATGAGACTGTCTCTAAACAACAGCAACAAAAGTAAACAATAAAAACAATTACAGGGGTATGTGGGTAAGTGAAAGTGTGTGTGAGTGTGTGTATATGTGTGTATCTTGCATAAGTGTTACCAGGTGTCATGTCGGAGTGGTGGAGAATTATGAGTGATTTGCACTACATTTCAATATTTTCCAATAATTATTTATGGATATGTGATATTATTATTATTATTATAAAACTCTTATAGATTCTTTTTAAATAAAAAATTATCTAAGTATGTTGTAAAACCTATGTATGAGAACACATGTCAGCATACTTCTCTGGAATTATGTTTAAGAAACATTTTCACACACGTGTTCCCAAGCATCCCCTCCACTAGCTCGAATCTCGATGTCAATGTCACACCATTAGGACCTGTTTTTTCCAAAAGTAAATTCAAACCACAAACTGAAAAGTTGCATCACCTGACAGACTTTATCAAGGAGATAACACTATTGTAAGGAGGGTAGCAGAGCAGATACCCTCTTTTGTCTACAATGCTGAATACAATGCTATGAAAATTGCTCTAAAATAGCTCTTTCTTAGCTATTGCATGGATGAATGGAATAACATAATTGTTTTAGTTTCCTCTCACAAAATATATACTAAGTTCCTGTTGGAGTTATTCAAATCTACTTACCTTTCAATATCATTATGCTTTTTTTTTTTCTCAGTTCCGCTTTGCTAATGGACTGGATATCACACTCATGATCCTGGGAATATTGGCATCACTGGTAAATGGAGCCTGTCTTCCTTTAATGTCCCTGGTTTTAGGAGAAATGAGTGATTACCTTATTAGTGGATGTCTAGTTCCAACCAATACAAGTGAGTAGAAGATGTTTTTTCTTCATTGATAGAGACACAAAAGCATTTACTAAAACAAACAAATGTTAAGCTCATAAGGCAAACCATTGTATTATAACAAGAGTATCTATATAGTATTTAAGTATCTAAGTTGTTTATTCATCTGTATTGCTAGGGACTAAAGAAATGCATTAGTTAGGCTGGAGTGTTTAAAGAAAGGCTCAGATGATTATGATGGCTGGCAAGTCCAAAATATACAGGATGAGCCAATAGGCTGGAGATCCAGGAAAGAGCTATGTTGCAGTTCAAAGTCCAAAGGCCACTGCTGGTGGTATGTAAGAATCATCTGACGCCCACTATAGTTCAGCTAGTCTGTCTAGGAATTCAAATACAGGAGAACCTTTTAAGTTGACCACCCAAGGGACTGTAACAAACAGGTCAACATACAGAGGTGGTCAACATAAGAATCTAGGCCTACTGCTCTAACATGTACCTGTGGTACATGTCCAATCCATAAAAAGTAGGTCAACTTAAGGAGGTAACGTAGGGAGGTAGTCAACTATAGAAGTTCTCCTGTAATTTTTAAATTTTTAAATATCTGGCTATTTTTGTTGTTGTTGCAGTTGTCATTGTTTTAGCTGGCCAGGGCCGGGTTTGAACCTGCCAGCCTCAGTGTCTGTGCCCAGCACCCTAACCACTGAGCTACGGGAGCTGCCCTCATCAAATCTCTTACCTGCTTTATATATGATGTGCAGTACATATCTCATATTGCTGTGAATTCTAATTTCTGTGGTTGTTTAAGGTTTTTCCCATGTTCTAAAGTTTCTTAGTCTTTTATCTAGTGTGGGGAATATATAAAGAAGTTTGATAAGAACTTAGATAAATTTATAGATACTATTGGTATATCCTATTGTTTAAAAAAGTAGGGATATTAAATGGTATGCCTTCAATATTCTAATATTAATTTTCTGGAAGATAATAAGGGAGGACTATTTGGTCCTACAAAGAAAAATATGAATAATAGCTATCATTGATTGAAGGCCCATTTTTGTGCCAATGCTTAACTCTCACACATACTATCTCTACTAATATAATCTACAAAATGAGACTATGTCATTTTTTTTATTAAATCATAAACACATAGATCATGTATACATTAATGCATTTATGGGGTACAATGTGCTGATTTCATATAGAATTAGGAACGCTTACATCACACTGGTTAATACATACCTCATCTCATTTACTTAATTTTTGTGTTAAGACATTTATACTCTGTACTAATAGATCCAACATGTACCCCTGCATTATGCACCATAGGTGTGATCCCACCATTCACCCTCTCTCGATCTGACCTCCCCCCTCCCCAATTAAGTCATTTTTATGAGATCATTGGTACCATTTTTAGAAACAATGTTTATTGTCCCTATTAAGCTTCAGTTAAGTCTTATTAAAACGTTCTACTAGATTTCACGAGTAGATTTCACCTTCATTTCTGCCAGGTCAATTCTGATATTCTTGGAATAAGCTGCTTCAAAATTTTTTGCTACCACAGTTCCATAAATAGAATAAGGAGGAAATGATCATTTACATGTAAATAAAGATCATAGACATTATCATATGTGGTGATGCGAGAGAGAAAGAGTCATGATGTCTGCAATTTATTTCCAACGATTGTTATAGAGGTTTAAGGAAGAAAACTGCGATAGTGGATACTGACCACAGTTTTGTGATGTTGGTAAAATCAGGTCTTGGTATACTATTAATAGACCGCGTATGTTTTTACTAAAACATATATAGAAAAGTTTACACACACAGTTTACATACAAAGTTTAAACACAGAGGCCAGATGCAGTGGCTCAAGCCTGTAATCCTAGCACTTTGGAAGGCTGAATCTGGTGGATCGCTCAAGCTCAGGAATAGGACCAGCCTGAACAAGAGTGAGACCACTTCTCTACTAAAAATAGAAAAAATTAGCTGGGCATTATAGAGGACTCCTGTAATCCCACCTACTTGGGAGGGAAGGCCAAAGGATCACTTGTGCCCAAGAGTTTGAGGTTGCTATAAGTTATGACAGCATGACCCTCAACTCAGAGCAACAGAGTGAGACTGTCTCAAAAAAAAGGAAACACATAACCCAACGTTATTTTAAAACAGTGGTTCTCAACCTTCCTAATGCCACGACCCTTTAATACAGTTCCTGTGGGTCACGATCTACAGTTTGAGAACCGCTGTTTTTAAAGGTTTTATTGTGTTGCTATCCTGGTTATACACAAGGTATGCAACAAATTTCAATGAGCTTTCCTTCAATTTTTCCCATGACTATTTCCTCTAGAACTTTCACACATTCTTGCTTTTCTGGGACTTTCTAAATCATTTCCTGGAGTGTCCCTAACTTAATTCAAAATGCACAACTTCAGGCAGGATACAGGAACTCCATTACTTTTCATTTCCTGGCTGTTGCCTGATCAGAAACATCCTAAAGAATTCTTTCCAGTGATGAGCTACGTGGTTAATGCTTCCCTGTATTTTTCCAAATTGCATGAGTACTTCTTGAGAGCAGAGGTAATTATGTCATGTTCTAGAATGAAATAAGAATACAAAATAAGATGATCCTGAGCTGTGTACATGCATCACGTCCACATTGTCTTAACAATGTGCTGTATTTGATTTGGAGGCTGAAACAGTAAGGACAATTACAAATTAATTCTTTTTTTAATTTAAAGACTTTCTTTTTCAGCAAATTCCTGGAACTGTACTCAGTCCCAAGAGAAGCTGAATGAAAACGTGATTGTGTAAGTCTGAATGAAGTGTTTACATCACATTTGTTGCAAGCAGCTTTATTCAAAAAATGGTAAAGTTTCATCTGACCATACATGTGATTAAAAACAACATGTCTTTTTTTTCATTTGGTATATAAAATGTAATTACTACCCTTTTTTCTTCTTTACAAAAGGTGTGTACATAGGTGATATGCTTTGACTTCTATCTGACAAAATTTTCATCAATAAAAAACTTGTATTTGCATTCTATAGCGATTTTGCCTTCTAGAGCTGCAGGTACATATCCTGTAGGAAAAAGAACTTGCTTTTCCTTTTTTACAAGTTTATTTTTCTTCCAAGCCTTATGAAAAATTCTGTTTCTATGAACATTAAAAAGGAAAAAGATGCGTATAATAAATAAATAGTAAAGATAATAAAATAGGTTTTTTTAAATAAAAATAATAAGGTTTTACTCAGAATAATTTTTGAGACTAATTATTCAGTTAAAAAATTGTATTACCTGAATAATAAGTGATTTGAGGACATCCCGCTTCTGTAATCTCAGGTAGTAAGCAGTATGCTTTGTATATTCTCTCCCATGCTAAGTTCGTTAGATAGAGGCTGCCTTACTAAATATATGCATGGAATTTCCATAGTGTTTCACTAAAACTATCAGAGATTTCCCAAAAGTAAAGCTTCTGCATTGCCAAAAACACCCATCACATTGCAGTGATACCCTCTGGGCCTTAATGCTTTTTTTTTTTAATTAAATGATAGCTGTGTACATTAACACAATCATGGGGTACAGTGTGGTGTTTTCATATACAATTTGAAATATTTTCATCAAACTGGTTAACATAGCCTTTGTGTCATTTTCTTAGTTATTGTGTTAGACGTTTATATTCTACTCTTAAAAAGATTCACTTGTACCCTTCTAAGATAAACCATAGAAGTGATCTCTCCAATCACCCTCCCTCCAACCATCCCCCCTCCCTCCCCTGCCCCCTCCCCATATTCTTATGAAAGCTATAACCTAATTTTTTTTTTTTTTGAGACAGAGTCTTACTCTGTCACCCTCGGTAGAGTGCTGTGGAGTCATAGCTAACACCAACCTCAAGCTCTTGGGCTCAAGTGATTCTCTTGCCTCTGCCTCCCGAGTAGCAGGTAGTACAGGTGCCCACCACAACACCCAGCTACTTTTCAGTGACAGGGTTTCACTTTTGCTCAGGCTTGTCTTGAACTCCTAAGCTCAGGTGATCCGCCCACCTTGGCCTCCCAGAGCACTAGGATTATAGGCATGAGCCACCACTCCCAGCCCTGGAGCCTTAATTTTTAATCAGCACTGTTCAATATGTTAGTCATAGCCACATGTGGCTTTATAAATTTGAATTAATTAAAATTAAAAATCTAGTTCCTCATTCTCAACATGTCAAGTATTCAGTAACTTCATATGGAGGGCGGCCACTTTTTTTTTTTTTTTTTGAGACAGAGTCTCCAGCTGTCACCCTGGGTGGAGTGCTGTAGTGTCATAGCTCACAACAACCTCCAACTCTTGGGCTCAAGGGATCTTCTTGCCTCAGTTTTTCCATTTTTAGTAGAGACCAGGGTCTCGCTTTTGCTTAGACTGATCTCGAACTTGTGAGCTCAAGCTATCCATCCGCTTTGGCCTCCCAGAGTGCTAGGATCACAGGTGGGAGCCCCCTGGCCCAGCCCTCTGGCTGCCTTCTGTCCAGCACACATCCTGAACAAGTTCTTCATCACAAGAAAGTTCTACTGAATAGGGCGCTGTTCTGGATTACAGCATGAATGATGCCCTCACAAATTATGTCTTGCTGAGGCCTCAACTTTAGTTTAAGGGAAAGTTCTTTTTAGCCACCTTTGTATGAGATTTCTTTATTTGGGGTCTCAGCTATAATATCATTTCCTCAAAGACACTTTTCTTAACCACTCCATGTATCCGCTCTAGCTCTGCCAACCCACATGTCGCTACCAGTCACTCTGTGACCCAGCTCTCTGTTTACTGCCTCACAAAACAACCTGACATTCTCTGTCTTTATGTGTTGTCCGCCTCCTGCCACCAGGATGGTAGGACTTTACTGTCTTGCTTACAGCTGTGTCTCTAGAACCTCACACATAGTGGGCACCCCTCAGATGTTTATTAAATGGCTGCATTCCTTATCTGGTCTCCTACTGTTAGAAATTTGGAGGCCGGTGCCTGTGGCTCAAAGGAGTAGGGTGCCGGCCTCATATGCCAGAGGTGGCAGGTTCAAACCTAGCCCCGGCCTCCCCCCCGCAAAAAAAACTTTGGATTGTTTTTAGCATTTCCATGTTGTTTGTTACACATGCTACAGTGACCATTTATAAAGATGCCCCTTTGTACATGTCACCTTAGGCTAAATTTCTTACGTCCAATTTCAGATTTAATGGTATATATTCCTTAAACATTCTTTTTAAATTTTTTTTTAGAGACAGAGTCTCACTTTGTCACCCTCAGTACAGTGCTGTGGCATCACAGCTCACAGTAACCTCCAGCTCTTGGGCTTAGGTGATTCTCTTGCCTCAGCCTCCTGAGTAGCTGGGACTACAGGCACCTGCAACAGCACTCAGCTATTTTTTTGTTGCAGTTTGGCTGGGGCCGGGTTTGAACCAACCACCCTTGGTATAAGGGACAGACGCCCTACTCACTGAGCCACAGGTGCCACCCCTTTAAAGATTTTATCAAATGCTTTTAACTGCTATCCTTTTATTTACCTTCCCATTCCACCTACTGCTATCTTAATTACTTCAATGTAACTTTTTCATAAGAAAGTATCAAAATTACTGAACAAGACACACATACCAAGAATGTATTAAAACACTAACTTCTACCAATAATATGTGTTATAGAGAGACATACTCTAAGTGTGTTACCCGGGAAACCTATATTATTATAGTAAACGTACTTCACACTTTCTCATCTTATGTTATTTGTAATTATTTTTCTAGATTTTCTACATCAAGTATTAGGATAGGTTTATATACATATTTTTTGGTACAAATGAAAAATGTGCGCTTCTGTCTAACATGGAGCATTCCAATAATCTTCCCTCAGGTTGACCATGTATTATGTTGGAATAGGCGTCGCCGCCTTGGTTTTCGGCTACGTACAGATTTCCTTCTGGATGATGACTGCAGCGCGACAGACCAAGATCATTCGAAAACAGTTCTTCCATTCGATTTTGGCACAGGACGTCAGCTGGTTTGATGGCTGTGACATCGGTGAACTTAACAATCGCATGATTGAGTAAGACGGTGAATGTGGAGTCTATCAACTCTGTTTTCATATTTGACATAAAAATGACTGAACTACATGTATTTACTTGTTTCAGTGACATCAACAGAATCAGCGATGGCATCGGAGACAAGATTGCTCTACTGTTTCAAAACCTGTCTACTTTTTCTATTGGCCTGGTGATTGGTTTGGTGAAGGGCTGGAAGCTGACCCTGGTGACTCTGTCCACTTCTCCTCTCATAATGGCTTCGGCGGCCGCGTGTTCTAGGGTAGGTGGGACGGCTCAGGTAGCGCCACCTAGAAGCAGCAGGGTGCACAAAACGGCTTATTGAGTTTGTCAAAAAAGGTGTTTCCATTCATTGTCTCTGTCCCAAGATAAAAAATTATAAACCACAAATACTCTTCATTTTGTTCATCATGAATCACCTGTCTATCTTCACATTATTTGGCTAAATTGACATTTGTTTTGAATATCTTACTAACATTAAAAAACATTCCTCTTCAATGAGCAGCCTCATACACCTTTACATGGTACCGTGGATAAAGTATGATGCCATTATCCATAGAATATCCAGGTCTTGCTGCCAGGAGAGGCTTCTGTTTTCTAAATTCTGAGATCAATGTTTTGGAATTTGTTTCACTGGGTAAAACAGAATAAGAAAATCTGAAAACAGTAAATACTTAAAGCACTTTTTTATGTCAGCTTCTTCAAGGTTGTATTTTTACAAAGCTTTGAATTATATTAAAATGTCTGCCAATATCTATTTTTGTCTGTGACATAAATATTTTTTCTTAAATAATTTATGTATTTGCATTCTAAATTATATTTTTAGCAGTGTTAGGCTTTGAATATACCAAAAGAAATTCATCTTATTTACAGCCTACTTTTGAAACCAATACTCCTTATGATGTCCAAAAACAATCAATATATCCCTAATATTTCTCTCTAAATTATGTCTTTGGCAGTCCTACCAATGTATATACCCATCTTTACATGAGACTCAGCGTTTTTAATTTTGCGATATTAATTGTTCTTTATGGAAATAGAATCCATAAAATTCCCAGAGTTTATTTGCTAAGCAATATTGAAATTCAACCAAACACAAATTTTCACCAATAAAAATATTCGGTGGCTGATTAATTTCTTAACAATTGGCTCAGCTCTTAGATAATAGATCTTTATCTAGTGTGACTTCTGGTGTTGTCCTGGTAATCCTTGTCAAGATCTTTATCCCCAACTTATTGGAAATGAGGAAGGAAATCTCAGTAGGAAGATTGCCCACAGTATGTTACTAAGATCAGAGTCTTAACTGCCCCTTTACAAATAAGGGGTTGTAAAGAGCAGGAGAATCGAAGTTCTGTTATGGTATTAACTGATCACGAACAGGAAGCCATGAAGGTCACAGTCATCCAGATGACTAGAGACACCAGTGTGGGTGGTTTCTGGCTTCCTTCAATCAACTTTATTTGGCCATCATTTATTAGACACTGAGTCCATGGCTTTATGTCAGGTGGTGTTTCCCCTCCAGTGACATATTATGGGAACAATTGTCTTTAGTAAGTGAATTTAGAAAATAATGAGCATTACTCAGTTTATGCTGCCCCCTGACTTTAACAGCTGTTGGGTATGTCCTACATCAAATCAGCCCCAGTTGTGCAGAATGCATGTTGAAAGTGGATAGATTTGTTATGTGCGTAAGCACCAGTTAGAAATTCACGCTCTGAAAGCTATGTCCCTGCTATTCCCTTTCATGGAACTGTTAATGCTAGTTACTAAACTGAAAGGGTTAGTAAGTGTGATATATAACAGAGAAAAGGGCACGTTCTGGTTTTGAAATTTTGAGAAACCAGGTAAACCTGCTTATTATCACCCACAGTGACCCCACAGTGATGTTCTCTCCTTTCTTGCTGAAATCGCCCCTTTCAGCATTCAAAGACCAAGCATTTGCTAGGCAGGCTGCATTCTGCAGTAACAGGTTCAAACTCACACCTCACACGTTGGCGGAATGGTGTTCCACTTCCTGCCACAGCTCTGTGACCCAGACCTTGGAAGCCTTGCTTTGTTCATAACAACAGGGCAAATCAAATCACATCAGGCCCACTACTTTCCAGAATGCACCCATAAAGAACATGTTCCCTTCTCCAAATGAAGTCTTTCTCAATTGTACCAATGTAGCTATCTATTCTAAAAGAGTTTTTCTTCTTTTTTTATAACAGACAGACAATGGCAAAGCCTTACTAGTAGAAGGGAAAATAGACAGGAATGCAGATTCTAGTTAACATTAAGCTAACTGGAATTTAGATTCTACCTGTATTAAACGCTCTGTACACTGCTACCATGCTGGCATCATTGTTTGGTTAACTGTGGCTGTGGTTGATTGCAGACGGTCGTCTCATTGACCAATAAGGAATTAAGTGCCTATTCCAAAGCTGGGGCTGTAGCAGAAGAAGTCTTGTCATCAATCCGAACAGTGATAGCCTTTGGGGGCCAGGAGAAAGAACTTCAAAGGTCTGTCCCTTTAATTATGACACAATACGCTCGGTTCCTCTCCCCTGAGGCTATCTCACTGTGTTTTGTCTTTATAAGGTATACACAGAATCTCAAAGATGCAAAGGATGTTGGCATAAAAAAGGCTATAGTTTCAAAACTATCTCTCGGTGCCGTGTACTTCTTTATGAATGGAACCTACGGACTGGCATTTTGGTATGGAACCTCCTTGATTCTTCACGGAGAACCTGGTTATACCATAGGAACTGTTCTTGCTGTAAGTCTTGTTTGAGAACACAGGTAACTGCTCTAGATAATCTTTTCTTATCTACAGTTCAATCAACATTCCTCTTTTGATGAAGATGAAAATTCAAAGATGAATGTTTTGATAAACAAATATTTGTTTCCCTCAAATGATTTCTAAACATCTTTAAATTATAGTTGCGAATGACAAGGTTTATTCCTCCCACGTTTTAGTGTCCTGGTTGTGTCTAGCACTGTGGGTTTTCAGTTTTTTTGGTTTTTTTGTTTTTTGTAGAGACAGAGTCTCACTCTACCACCCTCAGTAGTGTGCCGTGGAGTCACACAGCTCACAGCAACCTCCAACTTCTGGGCTTAGGCCATTCTCTTGCCTCAGCCTCCTGAGTAGCTGGGACCACAGGCACCCATCAGGGACCACAACGCCCACCTATTTTTTTGTTGCAGTTTGGCCAGGGCTGGTTCAAACCCACCACCCTTGGTATATGGGGCCGGCGCCCTACCCAGTGAGCCACAGGTGCTGCCCCATCAAGCACTATGTTTTGAGAAGAATCATAATTGAATTTCCCATGGGGAGACACATAGAGATTTCTTAATCCAGCAGTGAAAAAAGTCAGTCTGTAGTGAGACTTTTCCTTTGATCTTTGCTGAGATAAGACAACACTCTACACTCACTTTGCTAAATGTCCTCTCTGGAAATTCTCTGCAGGTTGGTTTCACCTGCTCTCCACCTGTCATTCCGGCATACAGTGATGGTAAACATAAACTACGTACAGCTCGGCTCAGCATTACAATTCGGGCACTTATAAATTCCTAGTGGTTACGTAACAAATTATAATTTATTCACTTTTCCTCCCGAGTTTCAACAATAAACAGATCATTTCAGGATTAAGAAACATGTGTCTTGGTAAATTGAAATGATCTCTTCCATATACTTCAATTCTTGTTTGGCCTTTCCATTCTATGTATCCATTTCTCTTCCTTCAACTAAATTCATTATTCAAGTTTGAAATGTTCATTGTTAAGACTTTTAGGAATTCATTTCTTTTCACATACAGTGAAACATGAGCATTGAGAGATTTTGGCTTGTTCTGCTCCTCAATGTATGTGTTCCTGAGCAAATGCATTGTTAAGCCTCAGTATCCTCATCTAGACATCAGGGATAATGGCGCTTAGCTTAGGTGTTCTTTCCTTCTTGAATTTTTTGCATAGAGGTCTCTGTCTGAAAATGGACAGCTATCCAGTAATACAAACTGTTTGGGTAGAAATAATGTCTCTGAAACCCATCACGCTTTTCTTATTAAAGCTCAAGAAGTTGACCAGCAAGAGCTACTGTCTTTATGGCTACCTCCCTTCAGTGAGCAGATGTCCTACCTGGGCATCCCGGCAGGCGATAACCACAAGAATATGGGGCACTCAAAGATTGTCCCACATTAGGAAGAGGCTGCGGATACCTGGGTTAACTTGTGTTTCCTTTATATCTGAGCACTGTTCCATTCTTCCTTACCTAATTCCTCTAACGTCTCTCTGTGAGCCTAAACCAATTAGACATGTCGTTCTCTTTTCTTTCTTCTATAACAGCTGAGAGTAACTATTATTTTTTGTTCCTCTAGGTTTTCTTCAGTGTAATTCATAGTAGTTACTGCATTGGAGCAGCAGCCCCTCACTTTGAAACCTTCACCATAGCTCGAGGAGCCGCTTTTAATATTTTTCAGGTTATTGATAAGGTAAGACCTCTTACTGCTTTGAATAGTAATTACCAATACTGCAAGAACAAGACCAAAAACAGGCACTTTATTTCTCTAAAACAACAGAATGGGCACATTGGCCAGGTTGGTTATGGAATCAGAGGTTGCTTTTAACTCTTCCTGGGAGGGGGATTGTCGTTTACTGAAACTTTCATGTTTAACTTAATGCATTCCTACAGCAGAAAGGAAAGTGTTATAAAAAAAAAAAAACCCGTCTTTAAAGTATTTGTATGATCTGGAGAATGTTTAGTCCTTTGAAGATTTATAGCATCTCCTTTCTTTTTCCCAGAAACCCAGTATAAATAACTTTTCAACCACTGGACATAAGCCTGACTGCATAGAAGGAACTGTGGAATTTAAAAATGTTTCCTTCAGCTATCCTTCAAGACCATCTATCAAGGTAGCTTCAATTAAATTATACAGTTATACTGCTTTCTGATAATATCTTCTACTGGCTAAACTCTCTTCTCATACAGTTGTTAAATAGCACTTTGGCCATGATGTTTAGAGACTTCAGAAGATAGGTAGATAAATGCACAGATAGGTCATGAACAAATAATTCTAGAGCAAGCAATTATACATTACAGCCTCTTTTCTATAGTCAATTAACTAAACCATTTTCAGCTCTGAAGTTCCTGTACTCTGGATTGGGGAACATACCAAAATGTCTTGAATTTATGGCGCCACCTATTGGTGGATGTTATCCCACTCAACATAGATAACTCATGTTAACCTCCGGGTTCCTAAACTGGGAGAATTATACACTTATGTCCTTGCTCTCTTCCTTTCCTAAGGCTTTTATTGCACTGGCAATTGTGCCTCACATAATTTCTCCTTTTTTACACACACGATTTAACCTATTACCTCTGGCATTCAGCCTTTGACAAATTCTTGTGAAATGTGCCTCCTCTTCTATTGTCTTTCCCCTTTCATTTTGTTAGTGTATTGACCCCAAAAAGTAGTTGTTGTCAAAGATTGCAAAGGGAAATTACTAATACACCAGTTTCATACAAAAACAGGGACATGATTTTAAGTGAAATATATAAAATTACTAATGTCATCAACCTCAAATGTCCCTTATAGAATTTGTACTAACCCTTTCCAATCCTATGTTGGATGGACATAATGATTTTTTTAAATTTATAAATGAAAATAAAAACACTTTAATTATTTTATATAACCTAAAAGGATAATAAAATCATCCGGTGAGGGCGGTGCCTGTGGCTCAGTGAGTAGGGCGCCGGCCCCACATACCAAGGGGTTCAAACCCAGGCCCAGTCAAACTGCAACAAAAAATAGCCAGGCCTTGTGGCAGGGGCCTATAGTCCCAGCAGCTTGGGAGGCTGAACCAAGTGAATCACCTAAGCCCAAGAGCTGGAGGTTGCTGGAGCTGTGACACCACAGCCCTCTACTGAGGGCAACAAAGTGAGACTGTCTCTAAAATAAATAAATAAAATCATTGGGTGAATTCATATTTATATTTTTTGTCTTTCTCTTTTAAAGCTGTAGAATAATTACAAGTAATCCACCAACTTCTTTCCCACCCAAAATAAGTAAGAGCTGGGGAGTTTGTGGATAGTTGAATAATTGAATTGGAAAGGGTTAAAAGCATCTACCTGCTCCTCCTTTCTCATCTTTCTCTGATTAAAACTTTGATTGAATTCCTCTCTTTTTAAAAAGATTTTTGCTACTTGATTACCATTTTTTTTGAATAGTCTTGTTATCTACCATTCTTCTAACCATAGAGTATTTCAGGCTTCATTTGCAACTACATTTCAATCAGCTTCCTGGGGACTTAAGCACCCAGGGTGCCACTATGTTCCATGGGAATATGCTTTCTGCGTTTTAAATAATTATTTTCAAAATGAATTTTTGAAACCTAACCTTTTTTCTTAAGCTGAAAAATGAATATGTTTTAAAGTCCACCTATTTTAGTTTTTGTTTGTTTTTGTATGAGGGAGAGTCTCACTACATTACCCTCGGTAGAGTGCTATGATGTCACAGCTCACAGCAACCTCAAACTCTTGGGCTTAAGTGATTCTCTTGCCTCAGCCTCCCAAGTAGCTGGGACTACAGGTGCCCGC